CAGCAGGAGTTAGAGCGCGTTCAAAAAAGAGCTTTCTCTATTATAAGCCCAGGCTAAGATTATCACGAGATTTTAGAGGCTGCCGGCATTCCACCGATCATGGCTTATATGGAAGACAGCTGCCGCAATCTCTTTAGCAACATTATCGAAAACGACAATCACAGGCTTCGTGAATTGTTGCCTAGTGCCAACCATCCAAAGCACAATTTAAGACGTAACAGGCGTTTCGAAATCCCCCGGTGGAGGACAAACCGTTTTAAAAACACCTTCATGATGGCCTCCACCATTAAATATAACAACAACAGTTAATTAACGACCGTTTCCTAGAAACCTATGTAGATAATGTAAATATAGCTTTTAAATATAGATAGGTTTTAGCTCATAGATTTTTTAATTGTTTATAATTTTGAATATTCTTATATACGTTATATAATATATTTATTTAATTACATTATTGTAATATACGCAATTCAGCCGCAAGGATGCTAGGTATATTTAAATAAACTATCTATCTATCTATCTATCTATCTATCTATCTATCTATGTTTCATTACTGAGTACTACATTTTCCAACTTGATCTCCTCTTGCCATCTTTGATATCATACTTACACACATCGACAATCTTTTACAAGTATGTGGAAATTTTATAATTTTAACTTCTTTAGATGCTTATAAAACGATTAAGGCAATTGAGATCTCTTGTATAAAGGCTTTTGCTTATTCAGAGTATATGAAAAGAATGTTGTATTGTTGAAAATAGAAGAAATTTATTCCACAAAGAGAGAGGGAGACTGAATTATCAAACTTCTGGATATGTATTGCACCCAAAAAACGGAACATGAACATGAGGCAAAGTAAAAAAGAAAGGTAGCAAATATAATTCTGTTGCTATGGTCACTGACAATCTGAATTGGTGATTAAGCACGATAAAATTGTCAACTTTATTTCTACATCCGACTTTCGCGGTGCGAATCAAGTTACACCTTGCCGCAAGAGCCACAATAGTTTATGACTTCTCGAGTTTACTCAAACTCCTTTAAAAAGAAAAAAACAAATTATAAATGGACCTCCTATTTCTAACAAATTGTTCAAAGCCAGTTAACTTGCCTGCTTCAATGATATAATTTCTCCCGTAAAAAACAAAAGCTCTTAAAACTCCATTCAAGGATTTTACAAACTCTTTCTTTGCACTCGTTTGATGTGCTCATGTTGATTCTCTATTCAGCTGTTTTGTGGGTGGATTTACGACGATACAGGACGTTAATCACATAAACAATCGTGGAGTTTAGACGAATGCCTCTATCTGTAATTCTTGTTGCCTTCGATGAGATGAGGAAAACTGAATCAATATGGACGGAAATGTGTCACTGATAATCTTAATAATCGTAACGCGACGAAAAAGATATCTTTCTCTAGCTTGTTGCTTATGATATTGACAAAGGAAGAAATTTATCCGAACCGGGAAAGACCATGACTAAACTTCTGGGTGTAGAAAACAAAAAATAAGAGATGCTTTTGCTTTTAAAAATGCTCGTTACATTTCACCGTACCTACGGTTAACTCGTCTTGAAATTTTCAAGGCGGTAGCAACAATAACCGTATTTCTAATAGCGGCACCGAGAAGAGGAGCGGGTCTTTCTATTAAGTCTTTCTACAACATTTCCGGAAGATCTCTAAATTGTTTGTTGCCATCTGCCTTTGGAGGCTATAAATTTCCTTCAAGCAATTGAGATCACTAGTGGCAAAGCTTTCCCACTTATTCAGTGAACATCGAAAACGTTTTATATTATTATATTCGTCTTTTTCAAAAGAAAAATAAATGAATAGGCTGAATGATTAAATTTCCGGATATGAATCTCGCATAAAGAAACACGAGGATCAGTTTTAGTTAGCAGACGAAACTTAGTTGGTCAAAACACGTTCAAAAAAATGAAGCAATAATTGACTTATTTCTTTATTGAGAATATTGAATTCGTATTTCATTTTACCTCTAATTGAACTGTTTTCTGTTATTTTTATAGCAGCCAACAGAGCTCAGAGAAAATGCATTCTATCGCTTCAGCTTCAGAGTGTATTCCTTGGCTTGTGGTCCTCATCATCGAATGTCTGGCCATTGTCATCCTTAACATCATCACCATTGTGGTTTTGGTGAAGATGAAGCGGCAGCTACAGCGGCGGAGTACATATTTGATCATCCATCAGGCGATAGTCGATCTTTTAGTGGGCGCAGTCTCTGGGCCGCTACAGATTGAACACTATATAACGTGGTTCTGTCCGCTGTGGAAGTACAAACGAGAGACTATTTGGTCTTTGTATTTATCCGCTGCATTTCAACTTCTATTCCCGTTCACTTCCTTTACAAATCTTATGGCTATTTCCTTAGAACGGCTACACGCAATATTTTGTCCATTCAGGCATCGCTTTGTGAGGAAATGGGTTTATAGAGCCATAATTATTGTCATTTGGTTAATACCTATTGTTAGAGTAGCCGCTATAATTTTCTTATGGGAAATTGGTCATGTCGAGGTAATTAATACCTACTTTTATCTCCCATTTTATGCAGTTTCTCTAT